CTCACCACACGGCACCTCCAGCACCAAACTGTCTATCATTTAACTTATATTATACAAGAAAACCACCTTAGAGTTTCCATCCATCCTGAGTGCTAGACAACATTATACCACGAAACCCTACAACCTCCCAAACTGCATTTTAAAAATTTCAAACCAAGAGTTAGAACAGGCAACCCCCAAAAGTCTAACTTAATAATGTTGCATTAAAATTACCTGTTTTAGGTCATCATTATTTTTGGGGAGCTTGCATGTACCATGTTTAGCCTTGAATAATTGAAAATCAACCTTCTGTTTTAACCACTCATTTCCCTGAGTTTCAAAGCCGTCTGCACTTCCAAAGAAATTCAGATTTTAGGCATCTGATTTTATTAAATGGTTACTATGAACATATCAAGGCTTATTTAGCACAAATTTAAGGATCTTTTCGGTTTCTTGTACAGTACAGTACCGCACTTAAGAAAAATGTAAGTATTGTTTTTCGAATGTAGATTTTTATGCCGATTCCATTTTTTTTTTGGAAATGGATAACAAAAAGCATTATAACTCTTTTAACTTTCAATGTTCTACATCGACAGGTTACCATTTTTAGCCTAAATTGATATAGTTTATGTCTTTTGTTGCAGATCAATATGAGTGATGAAATAAAAAACACCAAACAAACCTTACCTAACCTCACCTAACCTATAAAGCCTTAAACTATAAAACGCTGACCTTACAAATCTGTGTTGGTGTAGTTCTGGTGTTCAGATGAGGGGATCCATGAACTTGAAGGCTCACCTAACCTATTTCAAAGAACACTGAAAGTTTAAGTGGTATATAATATTTGTGCTATTTATTTCTATCAAAATCGGCATGACATTAGAAAAATATATATTTCTTATTCATGTTTAATTTCCTGTAGATTGGTGCTATCAAATTCAATATAGTATGCTCTGGTGAAATATTTTCAAAATTTTTCATTCAGATGTTTTTCAGTGTGGATGCCATGGAGCAGTACACTTCCCAAGCAAGGTAGAGTGAAGAGGCAAAAATTTAAAATGGGGACACCAATCAAAATAAGCAGACCAAGATATTTTCACCAAACCTCATGCATTTGCCGAAATCAAAAGTTGATGGTTTAACAATAGATTATATTACTACAGGACTCCATCACTTAGTATTGAAGAAATAGAAGCATTCTGCAATCTTATAAATGGCATACAGCCTGGCTATACTATGAATTCAAGGCCAACTGTTTCCAAAATAATTAAGGATGCTGCTATGGAGGTGACAGAAAAACTGATTGCTGCAATGAGTAACACAAAGTATGTTGCAACAACTACTGACTGCGGGACATGTAGAAGACGCAGCTATATTTGTGTGACAGCACATTCGATAAATGCAAATACATTGGAAAAATGCTCGGCAGCTTTAGCCGGCAGACAAATAACTTATAACATTATGGCTGGCACCCTAGATGAAATACATTCTGAATACAAGATCAGAAGCAAAGTTGTCACAACTACAACAGACAGTGGGTAGAATTTCTTAAAAGCATTCAGGGTGTATGGAGAAGACAGCACTAAGTACCAAAATGAAGAGCAGTCTGAAGATGCAGATATTGTTCAGGAGTCTGAAATCACCTTTGAGGACACATCAGGCATCCTATCACTAAGCAATGAGGATGAAGATGACTACGAGTATAAACTTCCAAAACATTATCGCTGGGCTTGCCATCTGATTGTCTTGTGTCCACTGTTGACTTAACAGATGCAGAATCCAATGATTCATACAAAAAGGTCTTTCGCTCAACTTTTGCCAAATATTAAGCACTCTGGAATAAAGTTGCGAAGTTCGCGCTGGGCTGTTGCTTTCTTGTTGTGGAAGGTATCAGCTCTAATCCGAAGCTGAGGGTTGTACTGCCAGTCAGTTAAGGCAGCACCCTTTATCATCGATGAATACGTTGATTTCTGGTTTATTTTCATCAAACCATTAATGGTGTTTTCTTTTCATCAGGCCGAGTGTCTCGTTGCAGGTTTTTGTTATGATACCGTTGATGTGACCCCATTCGGCACAGGGATTTTGGTAGTTTGTTGTTGGGTTGTTTATCAGCTCATCATTGAGCTGTTCTTTGAAAGCATGTACTACCGCTGGATCATCCAGTCGCTTGATGTTAAAGTCTCTTCTGGAAGTTTGTTGCCTTCGCCATTTTAGGGCGATGTGAAGGGAGAGTTTGACTCTGAAGAGCCGATCACAGTGGTCTGAGCCATGCATGGCTCGGGTGAAGAGGACATCTTGGCGGTCTCTTTCTCTGACTATGATGTACTCAATGAGATGCCAATGTTTGGATCGCGGGTGTAGCCAAGAACCCTTGAACTTGCCAGCCTACCTAAACAAGGTGTTGGTGACAGTGAGGTTGTGTGCAGCACACTCAATAAGGAGGAGTAGGCCGTTAGGATTACACTTGCCTACTCCATTTCTCCATATGATTCCCTGCCATATATCAGCATCTCTGCCAACTCTGGCGCTGAAGTCACCTCGGAGTACAACCTTATCTTCTCTGGGATAGAGGTTAACACTCTGTCAAGGTCGGGGTAAAAGGTCTCCTTGATGTCATCCTCTGCATCCAATGTTGGGGCGTATGCACTGATGAAGAAGGCATGACGTGAGTGATTCAGTGAGACTCGGAGTCGTCATGAGGCGCTCGTTAATCCCAACAGGCATTTCAGTTAGCCTATGTAAGATGGGTTGGCGAATGACAAAGCCAACTCTGTAAATGCTGTTTCTCTCTGCAGCAGGCTTACCCTTCCAGAAGAAGGTAAAGCCAGAACCCCGTTCTGTGAGTCGTCCCACGTCTGGGAGCCGGGACTCACTAATGGCTGCTATGTCGATGTTATACCTAGATAGCTTTTCTGCCGCAATGGCAGTTCTTGTTTCAGGACGCTCATTTTTGCCAGTATCCAGAAGGGTTCTCACATTCCATGCAATTACCATATGAAGTTGTTTAGTATGTCTTTGCTTTGATCTGTAATTGTGATTATGTTTTCAACTGCAAAAGGATGACCATACTGGGTGCGGTTGCCCAATCAGGATGTTTCTTTAGGCAGAGTATGCTTAGGGCATCTTTTCGAGCCCCCTCCCCATTTAGGGTGATCAGAGTGGCTCCTGGTAAGGGTTGTTCAGTAGTACAGACACGACCGGATTGCACTGCTGCCTAGATCCCAGTGCATGAACAACCATCATTTCCATGCTGCCCATATGCAGAGTTGTGACTAGAGACTCCCGGTAGTCATCGATGCCTCTCCCTGTCGCCACTCGTCTATTGGGGGGATAGGCGTTTGATAATGGTGAGAGGTATGATGTGGTAGATGATGGTTGTGCGTGAATTAATTTATGTGGTTAGGCAGGAGCAGAGGTTGCAAACACACACCTTGGCTCTCCCTTTTCCTGATCCAGTGGTGCAAGTAGTTGCAACGATTGGGGAGAGAGAGAGTTGCAATGTACTGCAGATAGCCCAGTTTGTTGGGTTTCGCCTAAGTAGCCTGTCCATCATGCATTTCCTTCATCCACCGGTGTATGTAGTCATTGGGTTCTCATGTTGATCAGCTCTTCTGCCTATACCACCGTTGGGGTCTTGTTGGAGGTCTGTTCTGCCTATAGGACAACCACCGTTCGCCGCGGCCGTCTATGGTTGTTGAGGTCTGTAAGCAAGTCTGCCTGATGCAGGGCTCGACCGCAGATTTTTCATCCCGGATTTACTCCTATAGCCGTGTACCTATCAAGGTTAATCTGCATGGAAGCGAGGTAAAGGTTGGTATAGGCTCCAGGACGTGTCCACATGCCAGTGGGACTATGCGCCATCCCTCTGGTGCCCACTGCTGCTCCGAGATTCCCTGCTGATCTAGCCTGCGCCCACGAGGCACCCAGTTACCGTGTGTTGCTATGAGGAAACACAGCAGGAGTCTTGATGGTGAAGAGGCTGTTTGCTGGCAGGGGAAGACTTAAGCAATGTTCTTCCCTGTTCAACACGAGGGCTAGACAGCGGCAGTAGCTGATGGCGAGAGGAAGCAAGTAGTGCTTGCACCTTGTCACTAACATAATGCTGCCACACTAGACGCATTACGCCACCCTATGCGCGCGCTCACAGACACACACACACACACACTCACACGTGTTCGCAGAAATGTCCTGTTCCACGACTTCCAGCTGAAGTGCTAATTGCCGGGGCCGAAGCCTAACTGTCGAGACTTAGATCGAGTTTTTAATTAAATGGTATGCCGTGCATTTTTATACTATTATAGTTCATTGTTTATGTGAGTTAACGGATGAATGAGAGACATTTACTTCATTTACATTTTAGTTTTACTTTCATATTCTTATATACCCATTTTCAATGTAACACAGAAATAATATTAAGAGAAAATAGAAAATACTAATTACAATGAAACAAAATGTTTCCCTTACTTTCATTAAAATTACTGGCTACATTAGTACAACACAAATGATTTTTACACATTCTCCTTACTGATTTATTTAATCATCCTTAAGCAACATTTTTAGTGTAAAACGCAAACAAAATATTCATTGGAAAACAGAAGAAATTAATTACAATAAAACCGAATTTTTTACACACTTTCGCCACCGTTACTTCTTAAATCAGTATGTCACAAATGAAACAGTGGATTATTGACCTTGGTGGCTTGGTAATACTCATTAATGAGATGGGTGATGCTGGCTCTTCTGACGTACTAGACTGGGAATATTTGGTCGCGTCTGGCTAATGGCACATCGGAGATCGCTCGCCACATCAAGCTAGTTTCTTTGGTTAGTTTTGATTCCAACCAATGCTGAAAAGCCTACTTCACACAGGTAAGTAGATGAAAAGGAGACAATGACTTGCAAGACTCGCTGACTTATTTTCTGGTAAACTGAGAGATACATCACCCAAACTTTTCCAGACCAAGACAGGTAAAATCATCCTTTGCTACAGAATTGAACTTCAGTTCAAGAAACTCTTCTTGTTAGGCTTCAGGAACATCTTCAACTTCCATGGAAACGGGGTTCCTGGCAAGATTAAATACAAAACTCCTGTCGCTGATGTTAAGAAAATAGTGATAAAACTCGTTTTCAAGTCCTTCAAGGTGATCCTCAATCCCGGTTTTAAGGCTGTCACTGAAGAAGTTCTTCTCATTCACGACTTCATTCAGACGAGGAAAGGATGCTGTGTTCCTCTTCAGGATGCGACGCTTCCACAGCTGCAGCTTGTCAATGAATGTTTTAATTGCATCACAGTGGGCAATCATAATTGTGTCTTTTCCTTGTAGCTTCAAATTCAAGACATTTATGACTTCAGAAGTATCTGCAAGGTAAGCCAAGGACAAGCTAACCTCCTCTGAATTAAAGGTGGCGAGGTAGACATTTTTCTCAGTTTCCAGAAACATCTATACCTCATACAAGCGCCCCAACATGTTGCCCTTCGACAGCCAGCACACGTTAGTGTGAAAAAGCAGTGTCTCATGCTCTGTTCCTAAATCATGGCACAACTTCGCAAACAGTCGTGTGTTAAGGGCACTGTGCTTTATATGATTCACGATCTTGATCATGATGTTAAGATGTTCCTGGAGTTGCGAGGGTTGGGTCTTTGCTGCCAAAGCCTGGCGATGTATGGAGCAGTGTGTAGATATTACCAATGGATTCTTCTCTTTCACCTTGGTAACGAGGCCTGAGCGTGATCCCAACATGGCTGGAGCTCCATCTGTGCACTTGAGTTTTTATGTCCTCCGCCATTTCATCAATCCGAAGCTTTACTGTGGAATCGGATAGAGAAATCTTCGACAATTTCTGATAGCTCTCCTCCGGAAGTAGCCATAGAATGCATGGTTTCACAAGGGTTTCGCCAATGCTATGTGGCTTTTTTGCATCAGCTGTCATCAGAGATAATTCATATGATGATTCCACAACCTTTGCTGACTGCTGTCGAAATGTTCCTGTGCCGTCCAGTCTCTGTCTCATAAGGCTGTCTCTTTTGGTTACAAAATAGGCTTCTGGCTTGTCAACTATGTCTGGGTGGGTGCCAGTGAGGTGACGTTTCATTCTTGTTGGGCGCATGGCATCATTGCTCAGGGTTTTAAGGCATATAACACACTGGGGTACATCAAAATCTCCCTTGCTTAGAGATGTGAAGCCGTATTTGAGGTACTCCTCAATGTATTTCCTAGTCTTCCCTTGGTAAACCATTTTTTTCCGGCGTTCAGTAAAAAACAGTAAAACACATATGGTACCCTATCTGTGATTACGTGATTGTAAATATATTCAAAGCCCTTGATAATAGGAGAGGAGTATACAAATAACTATTATGGACCAAAATTAAAGAAAAAGATATGATCAAATGGTCTTTTTATAATTTCAGAAATTACATATTTAAAATGCATATCAGGGGATATCATAAGCCCCACAAATAGACCACCCAAATAGCTAATAAGTTCAACTGTTGTAGGCAAACAATGAACCCAAGGCCCCAGTTTAATCAAACGACTTTATATGAAGTAAAATAAAGATACTGTACACACGGATATGGGAGATAATTCATGCCGTGATTTGAAGAACTTTTACTGCTCATTCACGTGTCACACACCAACTTAGATTTGTAATACTGTACATATTTATTCGCTATTAACTTTCACCTGACTAACATCGAAATCTAAAAATAGTGAACAGGGTTATGTAAATAAGTATTGTAAGCTTGGTTGGAACCAAAAAATTTCAATAAACACTAAACACAAAATATTTGCTTCAAAGTCCAGAACTACGCTAAACACATTAAAAGTAATGAAGATTTCTGAGAGTTGCAATGCACAAATTACTTACCAGTAGTTAAAATAATTGCACTGCTAAAATTCTTAACCACCTTGTTTGACAACAAACTGGCTACTGGCGTCAGTCCTGATGCAACCTTGGGCTATTATAGAGTGGGGGGGATGAGCAATCGTGTACAAGACGCGTTCAGTTCCTGATCAGATTTTTCCCTCTGACCGCTCGCGCCTCCCATGGAATCTTCTGGCGCCAACCTTGGGGGCGCACCCCCCAGTTTAAGAACCACTGCTTTAGAAGTTGAGACCGAGATCGAGACTGAGAACATTTGCAATATAAACATTTATGGATCACCTGAAGATTGCCGCCCCCCATGTAGCGTCGAGATGGTTAAGCTTCAAGTGGTAGCAAATCTTCAGGTGAGCATTTTGGGGGCTGTTCTTCATCTGATCCTTATTTATTTGTATGTCTAAGTAGAGTACCGTGATTTAGGATATCCATTTTAGTAAAAAAAATGGGTCTTGTGGAATAAAAGGGGCGTCTACACACGCCTACGCCCACATAGGCGACCATTTGAAGACCTGACCGGGTTGTTTAAAGTCCCTTCAGACCAGATGACCCAATTCATCACCCTTTCAAGGAAAAGCAGATGTAGGCCTGTATCGGGTGTCATGAGGATAGCTCTGCCCAGACACTGACGTAACTACACTCATATCGTGAAGTACCCAATCAGAAAAAAACGCCAGGAGAATCGTTGAAAAATCGGGCTCTTGATTGGACACTCAAAATGTGCTCTTGGCAGCTGGTGAGCAATGTTGTAAATACAGGCAGTTTAGCATTGGGTGTGATATAGTGTGGTGGCTTCTGGAAGGGCCTGCCGCATATCTTACTGAGGCGTGGTAAATGTATTTAATGTTTTTCTGTAATCGTACGGGTGTATAGTGAGTTGCCTTCCCCCACGGTATCTCTAGTTGGAAATAGGATGTACACATATAACTTCATATCACGTCTTTGTTGATTAAATTTGACTTGGAAAATATATCTTTCCATTTATCTTCCCATTAAAACATTAACTTAAAAGGGGTCCCCCAGTAGCAGATGGATGGATACAGGAGCGTGTGGGGTCAAGTAACCCATGTTTACTTAACTTCAGCGCTGCCCCCGACTGAATTCAGTAAGTAGAACCACACCTTATATTATACTTGGCTCACACAGCTATAATATATTTAAGGTGTTGAAGTCCTCGGATGATGGAGGGTTAGTGTTGTCTTAAAACATGGAAATATATCAACAACATTATTTTATTTTCAATTTCATGATAAGAATATGAGACAGCAGATAGACAAGCTTCACTTCTTTTTTATTTCTGGAGATCGTATCTGCTACATCAGGTTTATTGATAATATTTTTTTATACAAACACTTGAATTTTTCTACCTATTTAAAACATGAGAAGTGTTCATGGCATTAAAGAAACACCAGCATGCTCAGTACATCTTCTGATGTTTGACATCTATAGGGCCTCATATTATCCTCCCACGGCTAAATACACACTCATCGGACACTAAAGAACGGTAAAGTTACAATGCATGGTCAGTGGCAAATTGACCATCGATGGAAACATGACGTCGCTCTGCTGTCAGAACTGAATTAGTCATGTCTGTTACATGGGTCACCATGCATAATGAAATTGACCGTAACCCAGGATATTCCTACTCTTGGTGGATCACGGGTCAAGGTGAATTATCTCCACTACCTGAACCCAAACTTAAGACCCTAACCAATCCTTCCAACAAACCTGAAAACTAAGGAATAATTTTGTGGCCGAAAGCTCTCGTGCAAAAAAAAAAAATAAGCGACGACAGATGTCCGGGACCGATACCGTGACCAAGACCTAAATTTCAGGACGGTGACAGGTGCGAATGGCTTCAGATAGTCCCTCCATGTTCCTCCATCCGGGTAATACACACACACACACACACACACACACACACACAATATAGCTTATTGTAAGTACCAGTAATACTTTTCAATTGCCATCAACGTGTACCAGTAGACGGAAACTTGAAGGTTCTCGCAACACACACATACACACACCTACACACACACACACACACACATCGGGCAAACCAACACGTGTATGAAATATTAGTTTGTGACATTAACAAGACCCAGCCTTAGCAACACACGTTGTTTTTATCCTTATTCTCCTATCTTATAAGGCACATAATCGTAGAGCGGTAGACGTGTTAAGGACCAGTCAGCGTTATCAGAGCGATGCCTCATCAGTTGGTGTAAAGGAGTGAAATATGACTTGCTGGCTACCCCTCTCCTCCCCTCCACTCCTCTCTACCCAGCGTTACCAACCATAGATTTTTCTCTTTCCTGTTTTTAAAGGAATGATTTGATATGCTAAACATTCAATAGGGGAAACTGCGGACTTTTATAGAAACAATGAGAGCTATTCTGTTAAAGAAAAATATGTATGTGGTTTTATTAAACTTGTTAAAATAAAATAAAAATCACCTTTTGCCTCCTCTTGTATTGAAACTATTTATTGGAGTGCATAACGATGGTGTAGATTATCTCAGTTCTTTACAGGGTTATTATGCAGTTAGCATATGGTAGAAGGTATTTTGGCCTGGGTGAGTCAGTCTTACCACCAATCTTATCTTTATCCTCGCAGCTTTAGGCCATGAACACAGCTCCCAAATTTGGTATGACGTTCCTGAATAGTATAATCCTTATTGTCGAATGGGAAATTTTAATTCTTGTTTATCGCAAGATGGCAGACTTATTACATATTATTATGGAAATTTGGCTTTTGAGGCGACGAAACAGAAGTATTTTGTGGTAGATTTAGACTGTTAAAGTTTTTGGGTATCTGTGGACAATATTTTGTGTGGCTCATACACTAAAACTGGTTCACAAATAGGGTGGTGGACGAGTGGAACAAGCTTAGCAACTTTGTAGTAAGTGCGGGAACTCTGGAAAGTTTCAAAAGGAGGCTAGATAGATTCATGGATGATAGAGAGTGGTAGTAACTCTCGACAGGAGCTGCCATGCACAGGCCAACCGGCCTATTGCAGACTCCTTATTTTCTTATGTTCTTATGTACACGTTGTCCCTGCAGAACTGTTGACTTTATTGCTGGTGTCATGTATTGTATGTTGGGTAACTGGTGATGTCCTTTTGTAACTTATTGAAGACACTGATTAAAATTGTTTTACTGAAATTTCATTTTGGGTAAAACTGACAGTATTATCTAGTTTACCAGCGATAATATCATTAAAAACCAGTAATGTGGAACGGAATTTTTCTAATGGTGGGAATATTAATCATGCAAATGACAATAAGTGAATTATAAATACATACACAAAAATGTGAACTGTAGTACGGAAAATGTAGTTAATTCATGAGGCTCAACAGGCAGCTAATTATATAATATGAATATTGACTACCATAAAAGGTATTTACTGACACAATTGATTCTCCTTGGGGAAGCGTTTACGAAAGATGACCAACAGTACCAAAGTATGGATAAACAACAACATATATTTGGTAACGTTTCGACAAATCTCTTGTCATCATTTGACCTAAAACATAAAATTAAATACAATAGCTTCAAAAAAAAACAAAATCATTATGGGAATAGAGTAAGGTAAAGAGAGAGAAAGAGAGAGAGAGATGAAACACACCATTGAGTTATTAATAAATGTTGCTGTATATCCATACGTTGTTACTGTTAGTCATCAAATATTTATGTATAATTAATTTACATGAGAATCAGATTCGTGTAAATCTTGATAATTAATACATGACTGAGCACAGTGAACCTTAATAAATTAACACCGATATAAGGTGTGGAATCAACACTGGTATAGGATTATATAACACATCTAGGTACTGGCGCGATGGACCAAGTAGTATTCATTCACCATGAAGCAAACGATACTGTCACATATTTATTAAAGATAACTTATGATATAGCTGAAGATTAATGCATATGCGTACATAATAAACTACAGGATTTTATAACACCCAATCATCGTATTGATGAAAGAAGACAGATAACATGGTCACCACAAGGAGGTACAGGGGTGTGTGTAACACCCAGTTCCAAGATTATATAACAGAAGCGGGAGCCAACCTAAATAAACACGAGATCCTGAGGGTTCATGGGTACAACCATCGCTTGTTGGCAACACTGCTCCCTCTCCCTCCTTCACTTAACGGTACACGCCCCCCTCCCATCCACCCCCAGACTCGTTCTCGTAGTGTCTCCCCTCTCTCGGGTACATTTCCTCCAATTAGCCCATTATCCTTTTCTCTCCTTTCAATCCACCCTCTCAGTTATCTCTATCTCTTGTAACCATGGTCTACCCTCACCCCTTCGTGCCTCAGACTACGTATATAAAGTATCTAATC